AACACGAACGTGACAGCAAATTTATTGTATCAATAACGATCTACAGAGAGAAAAGAAAGATGTATTTCTAAACATGTTAAGTAACCAGTAAATATGTTTGTGTGTTGTTATTATAATGTTGTCAGATTTGGCTACAGATAGTATAAACCACAAGTTATTCTCTTCATCACAACTGCTTTACCCGTTTTGACCTGTGCTCTTACTCGGCTTATTTCGGCAAGGGAGGATACCACGTCTTCTGGCATGTCCGCCTGGCCTTCTGATGGATTGACACACTCGCGTATTTCAAAGGCGACCACGACGGATGATTCACCCGGTGAGAAAGCTGTGATTGAGAGAGTGAGTTGTGTTTAACGCCGCTTTTAATAGTATTCCAGTTATATCACGGCGTGTCAGCTCAACTGGGACGAAAGCCCGAAGTGATGCAGGTCTTAGACGTTTACCACTTCGGTGAAACCCACGAGCATAGAGATGGTGCTGACAAACCTAGAAACAAAATCGGAGCGAACCGGGAATCGAACCCACAATCATTGGACATTGCAACAACTTAGACGACTTGACCATCCGTGCCCCTAAAAAGATGTGTGTATGTTTAGGGATTACTCTCTCACCTGTTGTATGCATCAACAGAGGTAAATACTAATGACTTGACTTTCCATTCTCAACCGAAAAATCTGAATGAATAAGAATGGAATTATGAACAAGTAGTTTTGTTACAGCAATACCGTTCTCTTTTAAATAAGCCCAACAACCATCTCCTCCATGAGGGCAAGAAACGCTTTCTATGGCCAGTTTCGGATTATCTGTCGGAACTACGTTGAACTACGTTGAACGACGTTGAACGGCCGTGATCATCATCGTGTTCGCTGTTGCACTCTGTCGTAGAAATCTGAAACGACGAAAAGGTAGGATTTATTCAGTTAAGAAATTCGTCATAAAATGCATTCGCTGATACGTAACCAGGGAATGAACTAAATGTAAAAATACATACAGCTGCCATATTAATCTTCCGCATTAAACCATGATATTCCATAAAGCAAGCAAGTGTTTGTTGAAGTATTCAGGACTGCAATGCTTATCGTTACCTCGTTATGTGTGATGCTCTGCAACATGAAACAAACATTCTACTTAATAAACTATATGTGAAAGAAAACATAAGATATACATAATGTTCCCTTTGCGGTTTGAAAACTTCATATTTAGAATTATATAAGCGAAACTGTCTTATTGTTTTTCAATAGTTATAAAATATAACTATTTACCATGAAAGATTAGTTATTAACTGAATTTAGAATCATTGCACTTTGAAACGTACCTTTTGTGTTGATATTTCAGGATATATTCAACGTTCCACACCAAGCATGGCTCAGCCCTAATTTTCGGTGTGACATTATATATCCTTCCATTTCAGTGATAGGGAACAGAGGGAAAGCATTGCCATGACACTTAGACATAAACCTTTAAGCTGCTCTTTTAATATTCATATTAATTGTAACTCACTGCAATGTCAATATTTCATACATGATTTATGCACCTTAATTAAAGCATCTGTACTTTTCCACATTGTATTTAGCGAGCCTTGGCGAGCTAAATTCATACAAGTGTTTATTCCTAATACGGGATATTTACCATCCCCAAACACACTCGCGTGATAACCTCTATATATTGTCAACACGTAACTTATAGACTATTTATTTAATCATCAAATAACCTATCTTCAAAATTGCAGTGTGACCTTGCTTTTAGTGAAGTGAAGTCATCCAATGCATATCCTCCATTGCTGCCGCGGTAATACAAAAGGTGGCCTATTCAGGTTTCATGCTATTCTGCCTAACATAATTTCATTATCTGAAGTCACCCTACACACTTGAATGAGTGAAGTAGTAGGAAGCACAGGCGAGCGTGTTAACCTCTTTATCATATAATGCCATTCTTTAATTCTGTGCTTTAAAATCGCTTTCCCTCTCTCACAAACATTACCGAAACATTGCGAGTTTTCCAGGAATGCGCGCATTAATATTTAGTGCGTCACAGGGTAAGTGATGTGTCAGTCGGACAGTGACAGTAGCCAATATAGCTCCAACTGAAATCTGTTTCTTATACAGTGGCGACGCAACATATACGCAAAACAACAGTTGTTATTAATGGCCTTTCGCGGCAATCCATCGGTCTGTCCGCTAGAGTAACTGCCCTTTGTCAAAGGGAAGCTACTCTAACCCTAGTCTGTGAGACGTCACGGCCACGGTCAGATGTTGTTGACAGTCGGTCTGTCCTGTCATAACGTTAAGAAGTGTAGTCAAATGTACACCCAGCGACAAAACGAAACAAGGTAACAATTCAAACATACTTCGGCCAAATCCAACTATTTAAATTTGTGGAGAAGGTTTCAAGCTGCAGAGGTCTACAAGCACAGATATGGCTACTGGTCCCGCTTGGCTAGGCCTCGTACCCTCGCAAAATTGTTTCGAAATTTATATTTCCAAAGTTGCCAAAACTTATAAAATGCCTTAGCTACGTCACAGTTAGATACTGATTTTCAGCATATTAGAGTGTTCTGTTGATAATGATAGCCATTATGCCTGTAGTTTATCCAGATTCCCGATGGTTAATTCTGACTCGATCGCCGAATGACGAGGGCGACGCCATGTTTGTTTATAAACAGTGAAAGTAGTCCTACTTGACCTTTGATATTTGCATCTCTATCAGCATATGACCTCAACGGATATCGTTTTTATCCGTTGGCTTTATCCTCCCGAGAAACCTACCCATTATATGATACATATAGTTACACGATCTTTCAAGGTTCAGATATGAAAGCAAATGCCATCTGTTGCCGCACCCAGCAATATTAACAAGATGATATGACGGCTATCCCTCCACCATCATCTAAATCATGTGAGGTATATATTATTATACTTTGTCCTTTGATGTGTAACGCCGAACTCATCAGAAGTCTGGACCAGGCAATCCAGTGATTGACATCATGTGCATCGATCAACGCAATTGGGATTTGATGACATGCTTCAACCAAGTCTGCGAGCCTGACCACCCGATCCTGTTAGTCGCCTCTTACGACAAGCATGGGTTGCTGTTAATGTCTAACTAGGATTTTCACTGACCATCTGAAATTGACTGCGGACACAATATATGAAATGCTATACTTCCCCATAGATAACATCACTATGAAATTTGGGATATGACATGTTGGCAAGAAGTGGTCATTCTGGTGGGTACTATTTATTGCACCATCATTGCCTATCTCTTTCTTTGTGCAAATGAATCGGATGTACTTCTGTTACGTGTCGATCCCCAAATGGAAACAACACGTTAACAGAGATATCTATACAGAAGCAGCGAGAGTGGTCAAACTTCCGAGACGGACTGGGCTGGGAATCAGGGATGATGAGCGATCCTAACATGAATGTTTGTTCCAAAGCGATGAAATGCGAAAGAGATACGTATAAACGGTATTGTCGCGTTATATCCGACCTAACAAGATCCTGTAAAGTTCACGTTTTGAAAACATACTACCACTGTCCCCGGTAAACAGGACCGGAAGTTTAAACACCACTCTGGCATCTAAATCTAGTGACATAGTTACTTCCTAACTGCCCAAACACAATGCAAAGAACGTCTGGCGAATCACAACAGAAACATTGCAACACAGTTACAATCATTGCTTTACAATGAAATACAATGCATATAAAACTTCTCAGAATCAGAATCAGAACAAGATAATTTGACCAAAGAGAAAAGATGCATCAGTGATATCGTTCAATAATTGTCACATAGCCAATTACCTTTCACTGATATCCCCACCTGGATCAGAACTAAGAAAAGACATGTGAAACGAACTCATATGTAAATATTCCAAAATGAAACGATCCCATATCGATTCTCCCGAGGTTAATACTCAAAAGATGTAAAGAGAGCCCATGCACCTTAACATAAATAATAATAAATACAGTGTAATGAAACTTCAACCATCAAAATATCTGGTTTATTGAGACAGTTTGAAATATATGATAAACATTAATAATTAGTGGTCCTCAACTCGGAGTGTTAGAATTGTTACAAGTGGAGCCACTATACAGTCTCCTTACATAGTGAGTGAGTGAGTGAATTTGGTTTAACGCCGCTTTTAACAGTATTCCAGTTTTATCACGGCGTTGGACACCAGAGTGAGTGAGTTGGGTTTAACGCCGCTTTTAACAGTATTCCAGTTATATCACGGCGTGTCAGCTTAATGTGGGAGAAAAGCCCGTAGTGATGCAGGTCTCAGACGTTTACCACTTCGTTGAAACCCACGAGCACGGGTATGGTGCTGACAAACCTAGAAACATAATCGGGGCGAAACGGGATTCGAATCGTAGGTTTCTGGCGTGCCCAAGGGACGCAACTCTTCACAGCGAATCGCGGCGCCTTAGACGACTGGGGAACCCGTGCCCCCAGTTTGAAATAAAGCCAACATAGAGAAGCGTTTAGTGCTGGTAGCTACTGTTGCCAAGGTAGTCGCCATTTTATAAACATTTCACTCCTCAGAAATAGCCATCTGCGCATGCGCGGAGTGCTGAGTCAGTATATCAGCTATTTTACCTACACCAGTCGAGCACTGTAGTTAATTCGCACAGAAGTGTGCAGGACTGAACAGCCGTGTTATACAACATAACCTTCAAACATGAAACGAATCGTTTATAGAAAATCTGTTTCCTGTTGAGGTGGGCTCCGACCTATGTTGTATGAATACGTTTCTGAAGAAAAACAATGATTTATTTGAGACTTAAAGGGACATGGCTTTAGTAAATTGAAAGGCCAAGGAAAATTTGACTCAAATCATTCAGATGATACTTTGGGTTGGGTTGATATGGCGGACTTGTTTTGATTATTTGACCACGGCCTGTGTTATGCCTGAAGGGTAGAGTACACAGGAAGTATTTGTAGCGAGCGTTGTACACTGACGAGTTAGTTACTGATATAATCAGTCAGAAACCACAGCGGGATGATGTGCAGTTGGAGTTGGACTACTGTCATTTGTGTTTTGTTGTTTTCCCATAGTTGTATAGGAGGAGCGCCGACAGGTAAGACTGACATAACTCAAGGGATGAGGTGACGTGAAATGTAGTTTAACGTCATGCTCAAGATTATTGAGTGAAAGCGCGTCTGTGTGTATTAGTACTTGAGGCTGTCAACTGAGCAATTTACACAAAATTCCATATTAAAGTCAAAACTTGGCACGAGTTTTATAGAATGTATATATATCCAGATATGTAAACCACTTGTGACTGAATTGATAGCTGTACCAGTTGGTAGGCAGTTTCAAGTTGAGTGAGTGAGTGATTAGGTTGGGTTTAACGCCGCTTTTAACAGTATTCCAGTTATATCGCGGCGTGTCAGCTTAATGTGGGAGAAAAGGCCGGAGTGACGTATACCACTTCGGTGAAACCCACTAGCACGGGTATGGTGCTGACAAACCTAGAAACATAATTGGGGGATTCCAACCCACAATCATAGGTTTCTGGCGTGGTGGAACAGTACGTTTTTTTCCAATAAATGGGGGGGGGGGGAGGCATTCATTCATTCATTCAGGGTGCACGGGTGGCCCAGTCGCCTAAGGCGCCGCGATTGTTGCGTCCATCCCGGTGCTCGTGGATGGTTTAAGTGTAAAACGCCTGAGGCCCGCAACACTTTCGGGCTTTCCTCCCACATTAAGCTGACACACTGTGATATAAATGGAATAATGTTAAAAGCGGCATAAAACCAAACTCACTCACTCACGAAGAAAATGGAAAATTTAATCTTAGACTTAATCTTAAACTCAACAGATAAATGTTCATACAAAAACTCAGTAAATATGTGACAAGTTATAACATCAAGCACTAAACAGAAATAAACAATACGCCACGATCAATGACACGGGACACCTCTCATTCACTCATTGGAACCCAAGCATTGTCATAGTCAAAATGTCAAGTACATAATACACGTTGTGGATATGCTTGTTAGAAACAATCTGCAGGAACGTACACGCGTGATTGTATCTTTACACTTCCATTTACAATAGCATTCTATAGCTAAAACTATTCTTGTTGCCTTTCAGCAAACGTTACCGTTGAAGGAAATGCTACACTGTCATGGTCACTACCCAGACCTACAACCAGCGAGTACACCGTTTGGAACACACGCGCAGGGAAAGCCATATTCCATATAACCAACTACAATAATGTCACTGACGTGAACTCAGAATCTAGGATCACATTTACAGGGAACATATCATCTTCTGGAACAGGATTGTTCAGATTTATCATCAGAGATGTCAAGTTTCATGACGAAGGCTGGTATGAGTGTTATTCGCGGTCCCCGGGTAGCAGAGGATTCACAATTGCTAATTGTGGACAGACACTTATCGTGATGGGTATGTATTAGGCAAATAGTATGGATACTCCCTTACTACATGTACATGTGACTTTGCTACTTTATGAGATGTAAATACATAAATATACCACGCAAAATAGGTTGAAGAACACCCGTTTTTTCATATGGCTATAGTTATATAGCTATATAATTTGTCATGGCCGGTAGGTATTAAAACATATAATCTTCCAATTGCGGGTGTTCTGTAACTAATTTACAAGTAATTAAATTGGTGTTTCAGTAAATGTGTAGTAGTTTGGAAAAGCAATTGAATTGTAAATGTTTTTATTTGATGCATTTATCTTTCAGCTGCGTCAAATGTTTATATTCGTTTTGGAGAAACAGCAACTCTGGCTTGGAATTTGCATGGATCTGGAAACAAAGACTTTTTTATCAGAAACGATTTTTGGAAGGAGACAGTGTTTCACATAACGAACTATAACGAATTCAACATTGCAAATGAGAAATTAAAATCAAGACTGGAATTCACGGGAAATATAACATCCTCAGGAACTGGTCTGTTCAGCTTCGTGATCAGTAGCGCTGACGACCATGACTTTGGCCAGTTCAGCTGCTACCTTGGTTCACCACAACGTCCAGGAACAAAGATTCCCTGTGGGCAACAGCTAGTAGTGATACGTAAGTAGTTCTTTTACAGAAACACTATCCGGAATTTGAGTATGGTACCTAAGTCTACACAATGTATCGATATGTCACAAACCAGGACAGCTGTAACAGGGTATTTTGAAGAGGGATAATGTTCATGTTTCCAGAAAAAAAGTATGTCCATTCATATAAATTTCACAGATATTTCGTCCTTTTCGCCAATGGTTCCGCGGATAATCTAGACTGATGTTTCCTTTGCATTGACAATGTATATTTACGTTGGTGATATCATCATACCGATGTCGGTATTGAACCCTATTACGACAGCATTAACAACACTTACAAATATATAAGCCACTCCATTTGCATATATGGTTATTTTTGTCAACAGGAGTTCAAGAACCTTTTATCGAGGGCCCGGAAAAGGTATCCTTTGACGGTTCTGTTAATCTGACATGCAACTCCTTTCTGAAAAGTTACCCCAGTTGGAACCTGTCCATGAACTTTGTCTGGAGGAGGAACGGAACGAGTGTAGAGAATGGAGGAAGGCATCAGTTGGCGTCTGGTAGCAGGAGATGGAGAGGCGGGCGATACATGAACAGCACTCTGACTATCGGTGGCGTGACAAGGAAGGACAGAGCAGCCAGATACTCTTGTCAGACAGTGGTTGGGGACAATATACTCACAGACCACAGTGTGGACTATGTCCTTAGCGTAGAAT